ACAAGGGGGCAACAAAGATACAGAATTACAAATAAACTAAAAATACTTAACTTAACAGAGGGCAAAAACCTGAACTTGACTTTTGTCCCAAATCCAGCTTTGATTGAGCTGATCCTGAAACAATATATTTCATTTCATGTTAGCTCCAGTTTTATGTTTGCACAACTACAGTACTTCTCCTGAGTAGTTAGTATGAGTCTTTTGGTTGCCTCTCCAGTCCTGGTCTCTTTGCCAATTTTGTAAATTCAGTTGGAAGCTCCTGCTGGCAGTATACATGTGCTCTGTTTGATCTTTTGTGAGATAGTAAAAGCTTGGGATAATGTTTCAAAACCTTTATAACCTTTAATAAACCTGCTATGATATTCTCCACAACCTTCCCTCTTACCTGCATAGGGTTATTCTCTTTTGTCTTTAGATTTTATATCAACTAATGTTTGCTAACATACATCTAGAGTCCTTTATAAAGTAGCTGGATTCATACTAAAAATAAATCACTCATAGGTCAATTGTATTTTTACTGTAATTGGATATAATAGATAAGTCTGCCATGACAGATTTACACACACGGCATAAGTCAGTCTGACTGACCAGGTTTAGGTTTAAGGGAGGATGAATACACAATACTTTTAAAATTCTGATTTTTAATGCATCCTGAAAACAATAATTTTTCTTCCACTTGAAAATTATTTTATGTTTTATGTTGTAATTTTAATAATTTTTTAATCTTATTTCATGTGATGGATCTCTACAAATAGCCTAATCTTACGAAGTGAATACAATGCGCAATAAAAAAGACCTGGTACAACCACCAAAAGTCACATGTGTACAATTTAAGTGCCAGAAGGAGCTCTTTAAACAAGTCAGGGAACAAAGTTATTGAGTAGTACAAGTCAGGGTTGGACAGTGAAAATATAAAATTTACCCACTGCATCACTATCAAGTCATGTTTAAGTGGAAAGGGCATGGTTAAACAAGCCCATAAAAAGTAACAGACTGGATATAGCGGGGATCATCTAGAAAATCAACACAGAGACTAAAAGTAACCCTGGAGGAGTTACAGTGTTTCATAGCAGAAACTGTGCATAGCATCAGAAAAAACTTTACACATGGAAAGGTTGTCATTAAATTTTTTTTTTAGAAAGAGTTTGCCAAAATGGAAGTGGTTGACTCCTCAATTGTATGAAGATAGGTGATATGGCATATGGCTGATATACATCCGACACATCAAGAACCCCATCTCCATAATGTAAAATTGTGGAGTCTGAGTCAAGAAAAAATATAGATAGTGATAAAATGTTGGCATATTGTAGAGTAAAAGCTTCAAGCAGGAATATGACTCAACAGATACTGTGGCTGCAACTCTTGAGAGTTTAAAGGGGAAACATTAAGATGTGTAAGAATCAACTAGTCCAAATATAGACCTCAGTTCAAATGGGAATATTTGGATAGACTTGGAGCAGATTTGTGCTGTAAAATAGGTAAAAATACCAGTGGGAAGATCAGCAAAGCTCAGAGTGACTTATCTAAAGCATTTTTGCAGCTTTGTCATAAAAGGTGGATCTAAAATGTAATGATTTAATGGGGGTTAAACTGCTAAACAACCTAAGGTTTATCTGCTACTTTATTTGCTTCACAATAGACCACATAAACATTTTTTCAAAATTGTAGAAATGCTTTTTAAATTAAATTATGAAAATCATTACATTAAATGATGAAATTGTCAGGCAATCCATTTAAAGCCCAACACTAATAAAACCACTGCTTAAAAAAAAAACAGTAAAAATGCACAATTTCTTCTTTATAAAAACTGTGCTTTTTGGGCAAAATTAATTCTTGTGGCATGCTGTCATATATAGTTATAGTATTGCATATTAACAGT